GTATTATCCACCTCATTTGTTTCTGCACATTCTTAGATTTCTCTTCTGATCTCTTCTCTGACTGATCGTTCATTCAGGAGCGTGTTGTTCAGTCTCCATGTATTTACATATGTTCTAGGCATTTTGAGTTGTTATTTCTAGCTCGATACCATTGTGGTCAGAGAAGGTGCCTGGAATGCTTTCTATTTTTTGAATTTGCTGAGACTTGCTTTGTAGTCTAGCATATGATCCATCCTAGAAAACGTTCCATGACTGGTGAGAAGAATGTGTATTCTGCCACCGTGGACTAAAACGTTCCATATATATTCATTAGCTCCCTTTGGTCTATTGTGTTGATTAATCTGTCGTTTTCTTGCTAATTTTCTGTCTTGTTGATCTGCCCATTGCTGAGAAATGGGTATTGGAGTCCTCTGTTACTATTGTATTGGAGTCTAGGTCTCCCTTTAGGTCTAGTAACAATTACTTTAAGTAGCCAGTCACCCTGAACCTGGGTGCATATACTTTTTTATTGTCATATTTTCCTGTTGGATTGATCCCTTATTCATTACATAGTGTCTGATATTAGGATGGCAATTCTAGCTCTATTTTGGTTTCTGTTAGCATTGACTATCTTTTTCCAGCCTTTCACTTTTACTCTGCATATATCTTTGTTGGTGAGATGTGTTTCTTGTAAGCAGAATATAGATGGGTCTTATTTTTCAATCTTCAGCTGATCTTTACCTTTTAATTGGAGAATTGAGGCCATTTACATTCAAGGTGACTATTGGTAAGTAACAACTTGGCTCTGCCATTTTTCTATAATTATTCCTCTTGTTTACTTTGGATTTCTTTTGTACTTCTACTGGTGGTTTTCCTGCCTTCTAATTCTTTCATATTAGTGGCTATCTTTCTGTGTTTCTGCGTAGCACATCCTTACGCATCTTCTGTGGGGCTGGATGAGTGTTGACAAATTCTTTCAATTTCTGTTTGTTATGGAAGGCCTTTATTTAACTTTTATTCATAAATGCAAGCTTTGCAGGGTACAGTATTCTGGGTTGACTGATTTATTCTTTAAAGACTTGGAATATATCTTGCCATTCCCTTCTAGCCTGTAGGGTTTCTGATGAGAAGTCAGCTGTGAGCCTAATTGGTAATCCTCTGAAAGTGATGTTGCTTTTCTCTTGTGCCCATTTTAGAATATTCTCTTTATGTTTTATTATGGAGAGTTTGACTGCAATATGTCGTGGAGAAGATCTTTCTTTTCATGTCTTTAGGAGTTGTAAGTCCATCCTCTCTTTGAACGTCCCTTTCTTTCTCCAAATTGAGGAAGTTTTCTGTAATTATTTCACTAAATAAGCTTTCTATTCCGTTCTCTCCTTCCACTCCTTCAGGTACTCCTAATACCCCTATGTTTAGTCGTTTGATAGGATCCCATATATCTCCAATACTGTTTTAAGTTTTCTATTCTTCTTCTTCTCCTTCTCCTTCTTTTTTTTTGTCTGACTGTAAGATTTCCAAGGATTTGTCTTCTAATTTGGATATTCTTTCTTTTGTCTCATCAGGTTTGCTGTTAGGATTTTCCACTGCATTTGTTATTTGATCCATTGCATTCTTCATTTCTAAGATTTCATTTTTATTTCTCTTTAGATTCTTGATTTCCTGGGAAAAATTTCATTCATGTCTTGTTAGTTTTCTTTAGTGCCTGGATTTGCTTCTGATTTTTAAAAATAATCCTGATTAATTTTCTGAATTCCCTTTCTGACATTTCGTCTGTCTCTTCGCCTTCCATTCTAATATTGAAATGTTGTGTTTATCTGGGGAATTCATGGTGACTCTCTTATTTATATTACTTAAATTTTGAATCTTATTTTTTGGCATTTTGGATTGATTTTTAATTTTTCTTTCGTTGCCTTTTTGTGTGTGTGTGTGTGGCTATGTGCCTTCGGCTTTCTGGACTGTCTCTCCTTTCAGTGACTACCAGGAAGTGTGTGGTAGATGTGGCCTGGGGGCTCTGGTCAGTGCTCTAGGGCAGAGTGAGTTTCACGGGTGATGATTCCAGCCAGTCCTGCAGCTTTCCTGTGGCCTCCAGCGCCCCCGGGGGCTCCGCACCTAAGGGTCCGCCAGATGCTGCTCCTCAAGCATCCCGTTGGTTCTGTTAGCTGCCAGCCTCTTTCTGGCTGATCTCTGAGGGCTGCTCCCTTGGTTTCTGTCTCTGCAGCACATGGCACAGACACTGGGAGATTGGTTTGAGTCAGTCACCTCTCTACTTCTACTTGGACCTCTGGTGACTGCCAGCCCCCGCCGGCTCCCCAGGTTCTCAGCCGGACCGCATGGCCCTCTTGCTGGATTGCTGCCATCAGTCCTACCTTCTCCCCCATCTCAGAAGTGCTGCTGGCACTGGAAGTTCAGGGCCCCAGGTTCTGAGCTCTCTGGGTGCAACCACAGTCGCCCTGAAGATTCAGGCGGGTCCCCCTCCTCCTGTGGGGCTTCCCCGAGCTTTCTCTCTCTATGTTGAGTGTGCACCTCAAATGCTTCTCTTGGCTGTTTCTCCATAGCCCTGTGAAAAAATGTAATGTAAAGCCAGCCTTGCATATTTGAAATAAATACTGTTTATCATGACATTTGATTCTTATACATCATTAGATCTGGTTTGTTAATATTTTATTTTGAGAATAGTTACATCAATTTTCAGGATAATTATTGGCATAATTTTCTGGTTAGGTCTTTGTTTGGTTTTGGTATTAGAGTAACACTGGTCTCATAGAATTATTTAGAAGTATTCTTTCTGAAACTGTTATCTGGAAGAGATTTCAGAGAATTAGCCTCATTTCTTTCTCAACTGTTTGGAAAGAAAAGATCAAGGTTTTTTTTTTTTTTCCTGTTTTGGAATATTAATTGCTGACTCTTTTGTTTTTTTCAGTAAACAGACTTAGTTAATTTATCCATTCATTCTTGTCTGAGATAGATTGTGTCTTAAAATGATTCATCTGTTTCATATAAATTGAAAATTTGTAGGTGTAGAGTTTTTCATAATTTTTTTCATCATTTGATGTCCATGGGATCCATCATGATTCCCTTTCTTTTATTTTTGACATCAGCAATTTTGTCTTGTCTTTATTTTTACTTGGCTACCCTTGTTAGAGGTCTATAATTTTTTTTTTCAGTCTTTTCAAAGACCGTGCTTTGGCTGTATTGATTTCTCTATTAATTTCCTATTTTTAATTTTTCATATCTACACAATTTTTTATTTCTTTTCTTCTGCTTATATTGAATTTAATAAGCTTTTCTTTTTCAAGTTTCCTGAAGTGGAAGCTGAGATTATTAATTTGATATTTTTTCTCCCTTCCATGCTTTCAGTGTTTTACATTTTATTTAAAGCAATGCTTTTATTGTACTCTACATATTTTGGTAAATTTTATTTTAGTTTCTGCTAATTTAAAATATTTAATCTTTGATTCATGTATTATTAGGAAATGTGTTGTGAAATCAGAGTATTATGGGATTCTCCAGTTGTTTTTCTGGTTTTGATTTCTAGTTTAATTCCATGATGTGAAAACACCTTCATTAGTTCTAAGTTTGTTGAGATGCATTTCAAGCTGAGGCTGTGATCTGCGTTGGTGAATGTTCTGTGTGAACTTGAAAATAATATTTTCTCTTCTGATGTTGGATGAAGTAATCTACAAATGTGGATTAAGTCATGTTGATTGATTACTATTAGTTGAACTTAATATTTTCTTCCTTTTGGATATATCAACTCTGATAGAAGAATATTAATATCTCCATGTAGAATAGTGAATTTGTCTAACTCTTTTTGCAGGTCTATCAGTTTTTGCCTCACTGTTTTGATATTTTATTGTTAGACCTACATATATTATGGATCCTTATGTAATCTAGGAAATTTGGTTCTTTTTTTTTTGACAGGCAGAGTGGACAGTGAGAGAGAGACAGAGAGAAAGGTCTTCCTTTTGCCGTTGGTTCACCCTCCAATGGCCGCCGTGGCCAGCACGCTGCGGCCGGTGCACCACACTGATCTGAAGGCAGGAGCCAGGTACTTATCCTGGTCTCCCATGGGGTGCAGGGCCCAAGTACTTGGGTCATCCTCCACTGCACTCCTGGCCACAGCAGAGAGCTGGCCTGGAAGAGGGGCATCCGGGACAGAATCCGGCGTCCCTACTGGGACTAGAACCCGGTGTGCCGGCGCCGCAAGGCGGAGGATTAGCTTAGTGAGCCGCGGCGCCAGCCAGAAATTTGGTTCTTTTATTAGTATGCAATGTTCCTCTTTATCCTTGATAATTTTCCCTTCTGAAGTTTTTTTTTGCCTAAATATCTACATATTTGTAATTTTTCTGTTTTTACTTCTGTGTTTTTTCTTCTTGTTTTCTATTTTTTCTCATTTTGAGATTTTAAGATACCATTTTCTCGGCTGGCGCTGTGGCTCAATAGGCTAATCCTCCGCCTGTGGCACCAGCACACCAGGTTCTAGTCCCAGTCGGGGCACTGGATTCTGTCCCGGTTGCTCCTTTTCCAATCCAGCTCTCTGCTGTGGCCCGGGAGTGCAGTGGAGGATGGCCCAGGTGCTTGGGTCCCTGCACCCGCATGGGAGACCAGGGGGAGGCACATGGCTCTTGGCTTCGGATCAGTGCCGTGCTCCAGCCGCAGTGGCCATTGGAGGGTGAACCAATGGAAAAGCAAGACCTTTCTCTCTCTATCTCTCTCTCTCTCACTGTCTACTCTGCCTGTCAAAAAAAAAAAAAAAAGATACCATTTTCTCTCCTCTTAGCATTATTATTATTATCAGTGATTGTATCAGTTTCATCAATGCGTTTTTTTAGTTGTTGACAATTTTAGTTCTTTAATTTGTCTTTCTTTGTTACATCTTTATTTAGTAAATACATTGTTTCAAGAGTACTCACAGTATTTGAAATATTTTATGATGGCTGCTATAAAATCCTGTGGGGTAATTACATCATCTTAATCATACTAGTATTGATATCTGTTGTCTTTTCTCATTCAAATTCCAGGTGCTGTTTTCTTTTTTGATGAAGACCTGCAAGAATCAGATAATCTTCTCTACTTAATGTACCTGAATTCCAGTTACCAGCCCTGTGTGGGGACTCTGATTGCTCCTAAGTGGGTATTAACAGCTGCACAATGCTTCTTACCGTAAGTAATAGGATCAGCCCACCTTTCTTCCAATGCTCCGTGTTGGCACTCAACATATATTTTGGGAATTCTACAAAACCCGTAGAGGTACTGATATGAAGGTGAAGAGGAGGTTGGTTACTTAGATATTGCGTGCCTTAGAAATGTACTACTACCAGCGCCGCGGCTCACTAGGCTAATCCTCTGCCTGCGGCGCTGGCACCCCGGGTTCTCGTCCTGGTTGGGGTGCCAGATTCTGTCCCGGTTGCTCCTCTTCCAGTCCAGCTCTCTGCTGTGGCCCAGAAGGCAGTGGAGGATGGCCCAAGTGCTTGGGCCCCTGCACCCGCATGGGAGACCAGGAGGAGTCACCTGGCTCCTGGCTTCGGATCGGTGCAGCACACCAGCCATAGCGGCCATTTGGGGGGTGAACCAAGGGAAGGAAGACCTTTCTCTCTGTATCTCTCTCTCACTGTCTAATTCTGCCTGTCAAAAAAAAAAAAAAAAAGAAAGAAATGAAGAAATGTACTACTTTTATTTATTGATTTATTCATTAAAGATTTATTTTTTTATTTACTTGAAAGGCAGAATTACACTAAAAGAGAGAGAGAGAGAGAGACAGACAGACAGACAGACAGACAAGGAGAGGTCTTCCACCCTCTGTTTCACTCCCCAGATGGCCACAATAGTCAGAGCTGTGCCAATCCAAAGCCAGGAGTCAGGAGCTTCTTCCAGGTCTCCCACGTGGGTGCAGGGGCCCAAGCACTAGGGTCATCTTCTGCTGCTTTCAAAGACTTTAGTAGAGAGCTGGATCTGAAGTGGAGCATCCAGGACTTGAACCCATGCCCATATGGGATGCCAGCACCACAGGCGGCAGTTTTACCTGCTACACCACAATGCCAGCCCCTGAAATGTTTTACTTTTTAAAAATTCAGAAAGGAAAAATAAATGTGGCATAACACGATATCTTACATATGTTTAATATAACTCCCAAAACTTGTTTGTAATGTTTTTAAGACCCATCCAATGTGATCGGTATATAATTGTATTCTATTTTCTCTGCTGTATAGCATTTTCGTGTAAACATCACACAATTTATTCATTTTTTCTTGACAGGTATTTGAGTTTTTTATAGTTGTACAATATATTGAAGATTATTCCTATAAATATATTTACATTATGAATCCTTAGAAAGTATAATTTGCATTATGAATCCTTAGAAAGTATAATATAATTATATAATATACATGTATATTATATATGTATAAATCTGCAACATATGCCTGAATTAGTACATATACATATTTATGTATATTGGTAAATGTATCTCATCATGTGTATTTCTAGAGTATATAGGTAGGGCTGAAATTGTGGATTGTAGAGGATACAGATATGTACTTTTAAACATTGTCCAGTAATTTATGAGGTCCTTCAACATTAAGTATGTCAAACTTGTTAATTTTTTATAGATTTGTCAAATACTTTATTGTGCTCTCAATTTTATCTTTATTAATAATGATGGTTAGCGTCTTTATTCCTTCTCCTACTTCTGACAATGTTTCTGTGCATGTCTTTTGAACATTTTATATACTGAATTAAAAAAATTGATTTGGGAGCTTCCAAGATGGCAGATTAGGGAGTGACGTGATGCACTAGACTAGGGATAGGCAGTGGAAGAAAGGGGTGTGGTAAGGACATTTTCAGGGGGGTGTTGGAGAGAAAACTGCACTGGGAAGCCTACAAGAGCAGGAGGAGCACCATGGACCTGTGTGGAGGTAAGGACACGGCATGAATGCGGCTGCAGCACATGACTGCAGCAGCTGAGGCCGGGGGAGGTGAGACCGGACTGCAGCCACCTGGGCAACATAATTGGAGGTAGAGCGTGGCATGAGTCCAGACTGGACTGGGGGCTAGCAGTTGCTGGCGGTTGCCCGCAGACCCAGTGGAAGTAGAGGGGGCACATTTGTCTTATTCCAACTTCCCCACAACAGTGCCTGCTGCCCAGCTGAGAAAGGGTGGGTGCCATTTTGGGTCTGGTTGGCAGCTGCACAAGCCTTTGTGTGCACACACAGCAGCTGGTTGAGACAGGCACCAGCTTCAGAGCAGTACTGGTGTAGCAACGTTCGGCCAGTGGCTCTTGTGTACATGTGTGACCCAGTGATTCTAGTGGAGGGAACAGTCCACAGTCCCCACTGACTCTGAGCCTAGCTGGGGGGTGGCTGGGCAACCACACAGCATGGCGAAGTGCTGGCAGCCTCCCAGGAGCAAGAGGCCTAGGTAGAATTGTCTCGGGAACATCTGCCTCTCTGTTCACTGGGCAGGCTGGCAGGGCAGACAGAAGCCTCTGCACCCACAGCCTCTGGCAGTGGTTCCATGAGAAGGTGCAGGGAACAGCTGGGTCACTGGGAACCACTGGCAATGGCTGCACACACCGCTCACGGTGAGGATCGTGCAGATCGTTTGTGTGGTTATTACAGTTGCATGGGATGCACTGGGGGCCAACACCCAGGCATTGAGATCTATCACTCCCAACTTGGGTGTTACCCTTGATGCTTGCAGCACCCTGGAGCACTGGCCAGAGCTCCCTGGCCACACACCACATGCCTATTGATATTCCCTGAAAATGCAGACATCCCACTAAGCCACAGAGGCATAGCTCAATGATAAAAGCATCAGAGGAAAAAAAAAAAAAAACAAAAAACAAAAAACAAAAACCAACCCCACAAATGCCTAAAAACAAACACAGAAACTCAACAAACAAGAATAAGGAAGACACCATGACCCTCCCCCCAAAGGAACACAACAGCATTTCAATATTAGAATGTGAAGAGATTGAGGGAATGTCAGAAACGGTATTCAAAAAATTAACCATAGGATTACTCAAAAGCAGTCAGAAGCAAATCAATGAACTAAAGTAAACCACACATGATATGAATGAAAAATATTCCCATGAAATTGAGATTTTAAAGATATCAAAATGAAGTATTAGAAATGAGGAATTTAATAGATCAAACAAAAAATGTGATCGAAAGCCTAAACAGCAGACTTGGAAAGGCAGAAGAAAGAATATCTGAATTAGAAGACATATCTGGTAATCTTACAAACCCCCCAAAACAAGAAGAAAATAGAAAACTTAAAAATGGTGTTGGAGATATGTGGAATATTTTCAAACTACCCAACATACAGGTCTTAGGAGTCCCTGAAGGTGTGGAAAGAGAGAATGGGTTAGAAGTGAAATGGATTATTTAGTGAAATAATTACAGAAAACTTCCCCAATTTGGAAAAAGAAAGGTATGTCTAAATAGAGGAAGCACTTAGCATTCCTAATAGACATGACCAGAAAAGACCTTCAACACAACACATTGTAATCAAATTCTCCACAATAAAACATGAAGAAAAGATTCTAAAATGTGTACGAGAGAAACACCAGATTACTTTCAGAGGATTTCCAATTAGACTCACATCTGACTTCTCATCAGAAACTCTACAGGCTGGAAGGAAATGGTGAGATATAGTACAAGTCTTAAAAAAATAAAACTGTACAATGTGAATTAATGCTATAACTAGTACTCAAACAGTACTTTACACTTTGTGTTTCTGTGTGGGTGCAAACTGTTGAAATCTTTACTTAATATATACTAAATTGATCTTCTGTATATAAAGATAATTGAGAATGAATCTTGATGTGAATGGAATGGGAGAGGGAGTGGGAGATGGGAGGGTTGCAGGCGGGAGGGAAGTTATGGGGTGAAAAAGCCTCTGTAATCCAAAAGCTTTACTTTGGAAATTTATATTTATTAAATAAAAGTTAAAAAAATAAAATAAAATCTGAAAAAAGAATAAAACTGTGAACCCAGAATACTGTACCTGGCAAAGCTCTCATTTATGAATGAAGGTGAAATAAAGGCCTTCCATAACAAACAGAAATTGAAAGAATTTGTCAACATTCATTCAGCCCTACAGAAGATGCTTAAGGATGTGCTACACAGAAACACAGAAAGATGGCCACCATTATGAAATAATTAGAAGGCAGAAAAACCACCAGTAGAAGTACAAAAGAAATCCAAAGTAAACAAGAGGAATAATTATAGAAAAATGGCAGAGCCAAGTCGTTACTTATCAATAGTCATCTTGAATGTAAATGGCCTCAATTCTCCTGTTAAAAGTACAGACTGTACGAATGGATTAAACAAAACCCATCTAATTTCTGCCTACAAGAAACAAATATCACCAAGAAAATAAACACAGACTGAAAGTGGAAGGATACAAAAAAGATATTCCATTCAGTGGAAACACAAAAGGCAGGTGCAGCCATCCCAATATCAGACAAAATAGACTTTAACATAAAAACTGTTGAAAGAGACAAAGGTTAAGTAATGAATTAGGGGTCAATTCAATAGGAAGATGTGACTATAATAAACATATATGCACCCAATTACAAAGTACCTGGTTATTTAAAAGAAATGTTAATGAATCTGAAGGGGAGATTCAGACTCAAATACAATAGTAATGGGGAACTTCAATACTCCACTTTCATCAATGGACAGATCAACCAGAGAAAAAATCAACAAAGAAACAATAGAGCTAATTGACACTATGGAACCTAAAAGAACCTAACTTGTATCTACAGAACTATTCAACCCATAGTTACAGAATACATATTCTCATCAGTGCGTGGAACTTTCTCTAGGATTGATCACATGCTAGACCGTAAAGCAAGTCTCAGCAAATTCAAAAAATTTGAAATCATACCAGGTGTCTTCTCTGACCACAATGGAATGAAGCTGGAAATCAGCAACTGAAGAAACTCTAGATCACAGACCATCACATGGAGACTAAACAACATGTTCCTGAATGAACAGTGGTTCATAGAAGAAATCAAAAGAGAAATAAAAAAAAATTTGGAAACAAATGAAATTGACAATACATCATATCAAAACTTATGATATACAGCAAAATCAATGTTAAGAGGGAAGTTAATGGCTATTGGTGCTTACATGAGGAAATTAGAAAGGCACCAAATA